GTTGCTGTAGATTAAACTACCCAGCAGTAAATAAAGTAATGCAGTTAAAATTAGCACAAACAGATGCAACATACACATGAATGCAGCAGTAAAACTAATTCAGTAGTAAAATACTGTCAAAGACTATTTTTCTACCTAATGAGCACTTTTACTTTTTAAACTTTAAGGATTTGAATGAAGGGCTTTACCTGGTATGGAGTATTTTCACAGTGTAGTGTTGGTATTTTTATTTAAGTAAAGGATCTGAATACTTCTTTCACCACTGCTGCATTCAGAAAATGTTGCCAAGTCTATATTAAGCACAGTAGAGCTCAATGCAGAATGTGACGTGTTTAGATATAAATTTAAGTAGACCTCCACTAACTCAAACAAAATAACTTACACGCTGTTGATGTGCATCAACATTTCCCGGAGAAAACAAACACGCGCTTTCCCATGATGTCACACTTGAAAGACATAATGAAGTTGCTGTGCTGCAGTGAACTCATGATTTATACTTTATCTTGAGGCATGATAGCCTGATGGACAATCTGATGACCTGGCCTTCCTCTAAACTTAAGATCACTTAAGATCACTAGCACTGTTGGTCTGTGCGTGCTCACATGCAGACCAGATGATCACTGTAAACTGACCGCTGATAAAATCACTGGTGTCTTTGAAGTGGTCACACACTGGGCCACAAGATCCAGCAGAGATGGCCAGAGGGGGATAAGAGATGAGAGGGGGTCATCTGTCTTAGCTGGATTCCTCTTCACTGTGCTAAAAGGCACACAACAATGTCACAACCCCAGCTAGGTCGCAAAATGTACTCTTCTTTAGGAGTAATTTTTACTGAAAAATAAAACTGTTTCTTTTTAAAGCAATACATTCAAATAAACTGAGGGATAAGTTGCATGGCTTGTTTTTGTGTGTAATCCATGCGAATGTCTTCGGCCATATTGCCTTCAATTGGTCGGGACAGTGTTGTAGTATGAACTCAGTCTACTGGAGAAAAATCTATTTCTCTGTTTAGATGGCCTTGCATTGCCTCTGCTCACACTGGTAGTCACTGTGTGTGCACTCTGAGAATTAAAAAAGGACTAAATCAATACATTAAACAATTAGGATGTCTCGAGCCGCACTGGGGCCAATCCGGGCATATTTTAATGGATCAGTATCAGCTGAAATGAATCAGATCAAGGAGTTTTTTTCACTGAGCTGCTCTTGTTAAGGCAGTTAGCGTTGACATTGTTTCTGTGAATAACTTGGAGCACAATAACAACATTAAACTGTTGTTGGGTTAAAGTGCACTTCGCAAACTGCTAATTATATTCTGTCAAAGATCTTTTGTGTGTGTTGTGACCGTTCCTGCAGTTTCAACAGAGCGATACGTCTCACAAGCCCTTTTTAAATAGGAATTGTGCAAATTTGCAGGAAAGCCCAATCAGTCTTTTTTCAGCATTGGCAGTATAAAAACAAAATTGGGGAGTGCAGCAAAATGCTGTCTACCTACTTTTGTTCATTCAGAATGCGCCTTTTTCGGGACAATGGGGGGCGTGAGCAAGTAACAAAATGTGTAGCTCAGCGTGTGACGCAAACAGTGACGTGGCTAGTCAGCCCTTTGACAATTGTCTCGTAAATCGGCCCGTTCTTCACCGTTCCCGTCATGTGATGGTTAATGGCCTCTTCATTTGCGAGGGCAAGGAGGGCGCACAATTCCTCGTCTCCCCAGTTGCTCATCTTTACAGTGTCTGTCAGGTTTGCGTTTCCTTCTTGCTTCTAGCTGCTCATTCCTGCTATCAGCTGTTTCCTGTTTATCCACCGCCAGTGGGTCGCACGTGCAGCGTCATCAACAGCTCCACCCACAAGTCTTCAACAGCCCCTCTCTTGGCGGAAGGGCGCCTCGTTCTTTTTAAACCAAAATGGTTCTGCCAATATGTCTACCCTACACGGCGGAAAATTGGGCACCTCGGATCAACTCGCCAATCCGGCTCTGTGTGAAGAAATGGTCACAGCTTGCCTGCAAAATGGCCCAACATTAGCAGAAAATCTGGCAGTGTAAAAGGGGCCACAGTTAAAGTTTCATTCACATCATATCAGTGATATCAGCTTCATAGTTTTGAACCAGCACCTTCAGTATTTGGATTGTGGGGAAAAAGTACGGCAAGTGTGGTAGCTACAGCTTTTATTTAAATGAGTCCGATATTTAATCAACATTTGGGCATTTCTAACAGCCAAAATGTACGGTGGACTGGGACATTCTAAATAAATAAATTTACAGAAATCTTACTATATAATGACGAAAACTGTGTGTGTGTGTGGGTGTGTGGGTGTGTCTGTGTGTTTGTTCCATGTTTTTCTCCTCACTGACTTGGTCAATCCATGTGAAATTTGGCACAGTGGTAGAGGCTCATGGGAGGATGTGAATGAAGCAATATTACATCAATTGGCCAAAGGGGGGTGCTATAGCAACCAAATGAAATTGCAAACTTTGAATGGGCATATCTCATGCCCCATTGTCGTAGAGACATGAAACTTTGCACAGAGATGTCTCTCCTCATGAGGAACAAATTAGCCTAGAAGCCATAACTTCCGGTTATATAGATTTTCCGCTATTTTGAATTTTTTGAAAAACACTTAAAATCGATCTCTTCCTAGAAAGTTTGACCGATCAGCATGAAACTGGGTGAACATAATCTAGGGACCAATATCTAAAGTTCCCTCTTGGCAAAAGTTGAAAAACTTACTAAAACTGAGCTTCTATAAGGCAATGAATATTGCGGAGGGCAAAATGGGGGCGCTAGAGAGCTAATTTCTTATCTAAGCATAACCACCGTATCGATTTTTACTAAACTTGGTAGATATGTAGAATAGGACGCATCAAGGTGACGGGAGAAATTTAACTCTAATTGGCAACTGGGTGGCGCTATAACAACAGAAGAATGCTTAAAAATAGCTAAAATGTGACCGATCGCTGTGGCTCCCCCTGTGGTTTCTAATTTTTGGTATGACTAAGTCATGGTATGGTATCCTGTACATAATCACGGAAACTGTCAGTGTGTCATTCTGTCTGTCCCATGTTTTTCTTCTCACTGACATGGTCAATCTATGTGAAACATTGAGGCATTGAGGATTGGCATAGGTAGAAGGTGACAAAGCTACCAATGGGTATGGACTAGTAAAAATAAATGGTGGAAAGCAAACAGTGGAGCAATGCTGACACACCGTCTTTGTCTTCTACACAACTCTCTCTGCGTTTCCGTTGTAGCTGACCGGGAACCTGCAGGCGGGTCTTCCAGCTCCAGTGTTTCATTTGCACTCACCATGGTGTGACTGACTCACATGCTAACCTCAGCACATGTTGCTAACGGCATACAGCTCAAAGTTTGCGTGGCGTAACTCGTGCCTTTGAACCCTGGCTCTGCATTACGTGCATCAGTCTACATACTGGGTATTCTGCGTGTTGCATCTCATCCATCTCTGAACACGACTTTCACATCTTTCAATTAGGAGTGGAGATAAAAATGTTCCTTGATCAGGTTTTTGTTTTGTCCTTGACTTCTCTGGTGTACACTGGCCAGGTGCTGGGCTGCTTTGTGTGTGTTCACCAGGTGTGCTTCTGTTACTGCAGTCCAGGTTTAGTGCTGATTCAGGTAGGCATCAAGATGTCCTGCCCAAGACTGAGCAGATGTTGCTGTGGAACAGGAAGAAGGGACACAGAGGTAGTGCAGACAGACAGATAAAGAATGGATAAAATGAATTGTCAGTATCACAAAAAGGCACATTGTTCTCCTCTATCTGTCACACTGGTCACAATGTTGATTTATCTACTGTTTTAACCTGCATGACACTTAAACATGTCACACAGTGAAACAATATAGACTTTACTGGTAAGTAATATGACTAAACTTTGTGAAAATATAAAACCACCCACTCACTTTCTAGTATCGTATGAATATAGCTGTTCACAGTATTGATATATGAAGGCTGCTGATTGGCTGCTGTTTTTTCCCCACCCCCATTTTTCTCTATCCTGCTCTTATGTATTCCACGCGCTCAGATCTGCACTGAATGAAACAATATTTTTACACAGATACACACATGAATGGATGTTATGGTACTACAGTTTTCATTATACAGCATATATGAATTGCATTGTGTTAGGTCACACAGTAATCCAGTTCCTGTGGGTGCAACCAAGGAATGAAGACTGATGCGAAGTCCTTTGTTTCTGTTTTCTTTATGAATAACGCTCCCAGTAGATCCTCCAGTGCCTTGTGAAATTGCACTCAAAACGGACGAGGGAGCAAGAGTGTACACACACACACACACACACACACACACACCCACACACACACTAGTCTTGCCTTTGCTGGTGGCAAAAAAACTGTGCTCACTAGCAAAGATTAACCGTGACATTTTGCTTTCATTTGCACTTCAAAGCCAAACCCGTGCCCCATCTCAACCCCACCCTGCAGAACCCTCCACATCCAGATATCCATTTTGTATCATGTCATTTTCCTTTTGCCTCTCCACTGTTATCTTGCTGTCTTGGACTTTCCCCTCTTCACCGCCTCAATCTTCCTCCTGTGCACTGTATGTAGTGTTAGGGGTCCACTCAGGAGTGTGCAGCAGGGAGGAATACTGTCAAGAGGGCGCATCATTTCATGTCCAGGGGTTGAGGTAGAAATGTGGGAATGAAAGGACTCTAGTGCTTTAAAGTGGTGATTTGAGAAATAAGTGTACTTTAAAATAAAGACCGGTTGAGATATTTTAAACCCTTTGAAAGACATGCAGGGAACTGCAATGTGTGAAGAAAATAACTGTGGATGATAAAATGCTGAGACTGACAGAGGTGTGTGTGTGTGTGTGTGTGTGTGTGTGTGTGAGAGAGAGAGGGGGGGATGCAGTGTGGAGAATGCATGTGTGTACAAGAAAGAGATTTAAGTAGAGAGGGAGAGCAGAGCAACAGAGACTGGGGGAGAGAGTGGGAGCTGCAGGCTGAGAGAGAGAAGAGAGAGGGAGAGGAGGAGAGACCAGCAGCACAAGGCAGCAGCACGTCTGTGCCTAGCTGTCGCCTCTCGGATCTCCCCCTAGCACAGCTGTCTGGCTGCTGCTGCTGCTGCGAGTGGATCCTCTCGCTCAGTGTGTGTGAGGGAGTGCCTGAGTGCGTAGCACAGCAGAGTTCCCCCACTGGCTACCTGTGTTCAGACTGCTCTGGTGAAGGTGTCGCCACACATGGGTGAAGGTTTGACCAGTTTTGCTCTGGACTTGACTCAACACCCATGATCCCCAGCCATCTCTGGCATACCCTCTCATTAAGGTAAGCAGACAAAGTCTTTCAGTGTGTGTATTCTGTGTGATAGTGGGACTTGGACTGTTTAGTTTTGTTCTTGGAGGATAATTCACTCTAAGCCTGATAAGTTTTATCATAGCAGCATGCTGTTAATTTAGAAAAACAAGCTTGAAACTGAGCAGCACAGTAGATCACATTGCATTTGTCCCAGGCTCTAGTTTCATTGTTTATTGTGTCTGGTCTGACCTGCTTTGTGTGTGCAAACATTCAAATGGAAGTTGCCTATATCAAGTGATGACCCCTATGCTTTCTCTTCCCGACTCTAAGTGATTAATGTAATAACATTATTAGGTACTCTGTCTTTGCCTCACAGTGCTGCAGCAGTAAAAGGCAGTTGGATGATTGTTTTCATGTGGCTTAACCAGATTGTGCTGATGAGTTTTCATCAGTCTATAAGGACCCATGCACTGAAGGTTAACCAAATATGTTGTACAGTACAGTTTATTGAGTGAATGCTAATTGGAGTTTGCCATGTGGACTGCGTTAGCCATGACATAACAGCCCTCTCCTGTCGATGCACGCTAACAAACTACACTTGACTGGCAGACATTGAACGATAAGAGTATGTTCATTACATACAGATGTAGTATTAAGTGTGAGTCATCAGAGAAAGTGGATTTCACACTATGTAAACTGTTTAAAATTTTAATTAAAAGGAAACAAAGTGGTTCCTTGTCCCACATGTGGGCTGCTCTTGCCTGTCACGCTCCCACTGAGAGGACAGGGGAAGTTACAATGAAAGTGCGTGTGATTGAGATTAATCCCTATTTGATAAAAGACAAATAGGGATTAATAAATGTCTCTCAGCAGCTTTCCTCAACGTGTTTCCCTCTGAAACTATCTGAAGCACTCATCATACAGACTGGATCAGCTTTTACATGTTGGTTATTCTGAACTCTGCATTACCACAGACACTAGAGCTTCTTCATGGGCGTTAACATACCATTCAAAACAGCATCAGTTTCATCCAGCTAATAAGTATCACAGCAGCTTTTCTGAGCATTTTAGGGATTTCATTCATTCTAAGGATAATCATTTCATTTTGAAATTCACTCTAATTGATTAGTTAGCTGAACTGCTGCCTGAACTGATTCGATGTCAGTGTGATTTATCTAATTGATTCTGCTTAGTTTTCATGCTGCTCATTTAAACTGTTGTATAACACAAAGGCATGGCTCTCAGTGCATAAAACACTGATTTAAATGCAATTGCCTTCAAGGTTTTTTGCTCTGTAATTTAATCAGAGCAGGGATAGATCTTTATACGAGGTGCTAAGTGTTCAAGCTTTTGTACAAACACAAATTTCAGACTGAGAAATCGAACCACTTGTGCAGTTTGAATAGTTACAGTGTGAATGACGGGTCTAGAGTTGTCTGTGTTACACAAAGCCATGTGGTTATTTAGAGAGAGAATATGTGTCCCCTATTAGGTTGAGGATCGGGCATTCAAACGTGCTCAGCTGCGGCTATTCTACACTTGCCCTGCTGGCCATAAAAATAATCAAGAAGCCCACATCCAATATCCAACATGAGAGACCGAGCTTGTAAAGATGTGCTGCCAGCAGTGCTGGAGGAAATCTGTAATGCCCGCTGCTGTCTGCTAAATGTATTCTTGATACACATGATGCTCAGGACTACAAAAAAAAAAACCCTGTTGTGAAGTGTAAGTTGTGTATGTAACATTTCCTGGATCCTGCATTTATTAGATTGTTTATTTGCACCAGAAAACAACAAGAAACATGGGAAAATAGATAGAAAATGACATGTAACAAAGGTCCTAGCAAAGCTGACCTGGTGACTTCTTTTAAATTTCTAGCCCAGGACGCCCCACCACTGGGTTACACACATATTATTAATAAATTAATCAGCGACTGTTTTATCAATTGAAAAATAGCTTTTTGTCATATTTGCTGAAACTTTCCCTAAAACCACACAGTATTACAAAAGACAAATAGTCAATGACAAAAACATATATTTCTTCTCCACGTAGTCTTTCTAATGGTACCGTAGCTGATGGAAAACAACCGATCAGAGCTGAAGAATCTTAAATGCTCGTGAACTGCAGGCAAACCGTCTAACTTGGCAACACTGATCAAATATGAATCAAGACTCTGTGCATTGCTTATTTCCCTCCTTTTAAGAAACATATTTTAGTGTACTGTTTAGCTGTAAATAGTCTCTATATTGGTTGTAGGCTGTTTGTAGTCCGCGTGATATTGACCAATCACGTTTGAGACGGCTGGAGTTGTTGCCAGGTTAAATGGTCCATGCCGTGAACTAACGAGGCGGAACATAATTGGCGTCACTGCAAACTCTGAATCCATCGCAATGGTTCAGCATATTTACTTATATATAAACGGAAGTCGGAAACGGAAATTTGCCTCCTCCACCCAAATCAAACCGGAATGCCAAAAAATCGGGTGTCTGCCCCCAGAGGCTGTATCGCCGTCTGCCGGAAGTCAGACGCCGAATACAGCCGAGGTGTTCCGAGAATGAGCTGTAAAAGGAGAACGATTGCTCTGGCTGGTGGTTATAGTGACAGTTTTAGCAAATATGACCAAATGTTATTTTTTATAAAAGTTACCAACATCAGCTTTAAGTGATTTTAGAAGCAAAACTGCCAAATATTTGATGATTACGGCTACAGATGTGTGGATTTGATGCTTTTCTCTGTTATTTATAACTGTAAATTGAATACATTTGGGTTTTGACCTGGACATTTTACTGTTTTCTTATTGCTAATTGACCACATTTTTAATCAGTTTATTGAGAACATAATTGCCAGATTGACTGACATTGAATGTAATTAAAAGTTGCAGCTCTAACATGAAGACATGACTTTGGGCTCTGGTGAGTTGTTATTGCTGTTTTTCTCTGTTTTCCGTTGTATAGACAGAAAAATAATGGACAATAGAAATAATTGGTTGCTGCCCTACAGTACATGCAGTGTTATGCAAGTATGCATCCATGTGTGCTGTATGTCTGGTGCAGGTGTATATATGAATTTATACCCATGTCCACTTTATGTGTAATTTGGCGCTTCGCTGTGGAGGTGATGTAACGCAGTTAGTCCGACTGTGTGACAGTACGGAGGTGTTATTGTAAGCAGCAGTTTCCACATCAGTGTGGGAGGGAAGGCGTTTTGCAGTGACGTGCCAGTGGGGGTGAAACCACTATTAATCAGGTGTATGGAACAGATGAAGGAGAACTCCCGAGTAGCATTGAGTTAGTTAGTCGATGTTTTGTAAGACCACTGCCCACAGGCTGTGACTTTTCTTGCTCTGTGGTGGTTACATCATGTGTGTGCCTTACTGTTTCAGATAATACCCGTTTCTTTTCTTTGCTCCTGGCTAATGTTTGTTGTCATGTGTACTTGAAAAAGGGGGTAAAAGAGTATTGCACTGCAGAAATAAAATACTTTAATCTACATATGGCGTTGTGAAATATGCAAAAATATAATCAAGGGTACATCATTGATCATGATTAAGGAGTCCATGAACCCTGCATATATGTTGCATAAATGTACACACAGTGAAAACGCCTCCTTATCCTCATCTTTCATCTTTGTACCTAGACGTGAATGGTAGAGGTCACTGACAGCGTGTAGGAGTGCATAATGAATTGCCATTGGTTATAGTTTTAGTGTGGGCAGATTGTCACACATGCACTTGTTACCTCCACACACACAACTTCTTTTATAACACCATGTAACGAGGGTCGTCCACGCGTAGACTTATGAAACAAACCCCAGAGTGTGGATCGGGTTCAATGTCTGATTCATTCACTTTAACTCACACCGTGTCAATCATCTGAGCTTCATCTTTTCACACTGTCTGAGGGAAAACTGAAAATGTTGAGGAGGGAGAGGAGATCTTTGTGAGAATTTAAAGTTTAGAAGCAACCAAAAAGCTGGTGTTTTTACATTTTATGGAGACAGCTGCTGTTAGCTAGTGAATCTTACCAAAGAAATGAAATTGTCAGTTTGATGGACTTGGTATTGTGTTACTGAAGACTGACATGTAACCCAGATACTTAGGCAGCTTGTCTGTGGTCTCAAATGACAAAACAGCCAAAGTGGTACAGTGAAAATGCTTACATTGTTACCCTGTCGGGTCAAGTTTTTTTGAATCAGTGGCAGAACAAACATAAAGGACAATGTGAGAAACGATGTGTGTGTGTGTGTGTGTGTGTGTGTGTGCTTCAGTGTATATTTACTGTAACTTTAGCTGCAGAGTTCCACATCCTGTTGCACCTGTTAAAGAGCTTTTAGCAGGTCAGCTTCAGATGTGGTCAAAGGTATAATTTCAAGAGAGAAATACTGTTTTTCTCAAATGAAGTTGAATTAATAAGAAAACATGTGAGAGCTCTTGTTTTGAGAACCAGACACTGGAGCTTGTTGTCTCTCTTCTGCCAAGTTGGAATGAAATACTACCTGTTCCTTAAAAAAACACTGCATTATGAAAGTATCATAATGTGCGAAATGGAAAGTGATAGCTGGTTCAGAATTGTAGAAATGTTTGGTCTCTTGCCTGTTTACTTCAAGGAGATAATGATCTAGTAGTGAATTGGAGTACAGCTGGATGTACTGCGTCATTAACGTCATTTTGTAGTTTGTGGTGCAAATGATCACCAGCTCATTAAGCAACATGACTCTGTCTGATTATGTGGTTGCTTCTGTAGGTCTTATTCCTCTCTGACAATAGATAATGCTGCCATTATACAATGATTTATGCGATCTTACAAAAATGCACATACAGCAGTTCGTATGAAATTAGTGCCCCACAAATGATATTACATACTTAACATAAAGTTACGTCAGTTTGATTTAGGGAGGTAAAGTCATGTAGGTTAGGTTTCAGAAAAGAAACCTAGGGATGACATGCCTTAAAATAACTCAAAGTTCACTTGGTTTCACAGGATCCTAAAAATTGGTCTCCTGGGTGAAAGTCCTGTGTTGACCTTCGGTCT